ACTATAAATTCAATGCGCAAACGTGTAATTTAGTTGTCCAACGTCATTATCAGTTACGGTAGGGACGCTTATAATTATTTATGCGTTGAGACCGCCACGGATGCGACGTATCATTGCCAAAACAATTTTCGATAACGTCACAGGAGAAGAGGCGAGTGCAAGTACATCGTTGGCCAAGAAAATTGCAAAACGTCGCTCGAAGGCGACATCGATCTAGCTTCCAAGGATACCGAATACTCGTCCGATCGGCGATTAATTCTCCCCGTCACAACCTGGATTTAGCGCTCGTAAAAATGTCGTTTGCGGAGAGAAACGATAGGGAAAAAAAGAGAGCTTTCCAAAGCGCCAAGATAGCCCTGTATAGTCATTACCGCAGCGTTTCTGAGGCCAGGTATCCCTGCTGATTTATGCGAGGCGATCAGTTTATCGTAATCTTTATGTAAACGTTCGGTAAATAAAACATTGAACTTACCGGAACACGAAACGATTCGTGGCAAGCTGCACACGAGAACTTTTACTTTACCATAAATTATTTAAGGCTTTACGCGTTCTATTTTATACAGGGAACGTGATAATAATCTATGGAACAATCAATATTTTCGTTGCTAAATTTCTAGGAGCTGCCAAGTATACGAAGCTTTCAAAATGTCAAATAATTTTAATGTTTATTCGATGTAGAATTAATTTTTATTGAATCGTTGAAATATTTATTCAATGTTATATAATCCACTAGATTATTTTTATGACAAACAGAATCACACTATTTAATAGAATCACACTATATCGATATGAGATTAATGTTTGCTAATTCTTTACAAGGAAGTTATTGGATTAAACAGGAAGTTATTGAATACTCAATACAAACAGTTCAGCAGAATCACTTACCCCAACGATCAATGTTCTCAGAGAACATTGTCCCGAGGTATACAATAAATGGCTTTATTTATCTATCCGAGATTGATCTGTTAGTCTCCCATTATGGGAAACTAGGTATTGTCGAACACTGTACACTTGTTATAGAATTACTCCAGCTTACTTTTTGATTAATACTACACGGCATAGAATAAATGACTTTGTTTATTTGAGATTGACACGTTAATCTTCCATTAAGGGGTCTTTCTAGTGTGACAACCGACAAATGAGCCATACATTATGAATTTCTTTTCGAAGTCTACAAAATAAAGAACGATTTTACTGTTTTTCTACGAATAATACTATTCAGAAAGAGAATGGAAGTATTTTTGTATGAACTTTATGAAATTTATTTATCGATTTATATTAATGTTAAACCAGTTCTAGACAATTGTCGATATTTTCGTAGTTGTGAAGAATATTTCGGAAACGGTTTGTCTGAGACAAATAATTCATATAATCACTTTTCATCGACTATTTTACATATAATTTGCATAAATTGTAACAGTGTATTTTCAAATATATTTGCTTTTAAAAAATGAAGCAATAATTAATTTCTTGACACACCAAAGAGCCTCCTGAAGAAAAGCAAGGATTTACCGAACATTGCATACTACATTATACTCTCACTCCTGCTAGAGAAAGCGAAGAAATGTCAGAGTACAAAAATGAAGCTGTAACTTGAGAAGGAAGTCACACGAAGTTAACCCAATCTCTGTTCTCGATTTGTGTGTTCCCAATCGTCCAAGTTGGTCGAAAAATGCGGAATATATTAAGAGCGAGGAACAATACCTAAACTACCGCGCCCACTTTCTACACACCACATCCTTTCCTTATCGGTCTCGACGGAGGAACAATTTCCTATGCATCTAATATCACGTTTCTCTTAATCAGTTTCGCGCCCTAATACGGCCACGCGCCAGTCCAGCGATAAGAGTATGTACCAACAGCCAGCTGTAATTACGATATACCCGGCGGAATGGTTATCTGTCCCGGCAGACTCTGCCGATCCTTATGTACGACGTCAAGGATCAATAAGCTCGCGAAACTTCCGAAAGTCGGTGTACCAGAAGCGTTATCAACCGCGCAGCTTCTGCGTTACAGAGGAAGCGGGAAAAGTATTGTCAGCCGATCTAGCTCACTTCCTAGCTGCTGAGTTTGAGCATGAGTCACGAATAGCGATGGGATCAACCATCTTACAAGCAGCTTCGAGTTCCAACCGACTTGGATTCAAACTCTTTACGAGTACTGCGCGAAACAAAGAACTTCTAGTCGAACCCTATCATAGGGTGAGTGGGGAATTAGTGAACACTGTCATCTAAATCTTTTTTCACGAGTACGAGACCTGAGCTTTTTCCACTTTGCAATGATACACAATATCAGGATCTCGAACTGACATTAGCCCAAAAGTTACACGAAAAAAAATAGGTGTAAAAAATTTGTATATTCTCATAACGAGTTCGTAAGGTAATAATAGTAGCAGTCGAATGTAATATTACTTCATCTCCAATTTACTAATTAGACTCATCGGCAAGGATCATCTGCAATATCGAATTTTGCGTTAGACGTGATGCTATTAATCCTTTGAGTAATCTGCTATAACTAATTATGCCTTATTAAATTATCGAGTAATCAGAGACTGTTCAACAAACGATTAATGGCATCTCAGACAAGATACGGTAGATAAGATTTACCGATAGATTCGAGTAGCATAGTTGGAACAAAACATAATATTGTTCTTTGTACTGGAAACATTATTCGTTAGATAAGTAATATTGTTTAACATATAGTAGCTTCTAACTGCCTGTGGGTGTTTCTAAGAAATAGCAAGAAAATATTTCTAATAGATTCGCTGAAGGTCTTTTAGCAACTGTTCCAAGCTTCTTTCAATTTGCGAGAGATCAAAGATATTCCTTCTTATCGATAGAGCGAACTACTTTACCAGTAGACTTCTACATTATCGAGGCTTATCGACAGGATGCTCTAGCTTATCGACAGAATTCTCTACCTTACCATGTGCTCCACGCACGTGATTCTTTTGCAAGCAGGTACAGTAGAGCTTCCGAATAGAATTTCTGAATAGAATATTAAAAATTGATCAGTTACTGAAGTGATTTTCGATTTCACCTACTGTACTCCCCATTTCTTTCCACGAAATAATTTAATGTAATGTATTTATACGGAATTTCCCATGATATAATCAATGAATACTCTACAAAACAAGTGATCATACTATTATCCGAAAATTCCCTTATCTATTCCCTCATCCCACTTTTGTCTCCCTATTAGTAGGGATGCAAGAGGTTCTACTGTGCAACGAACGAAACATTCTCTACGAGTGGTCTACGCGCTCGTGAAACGAATGTTAGTTATTGGAATTGACTCGAATACGAGAGTACGTATCGATCTCGATCCCATCCGTAGTCGGAACGGGGGATATCCTCGCGTCCAGGTAGCGCTCGAGAGATCTAACCGCGCTTATCTATGCCGTGTAGGAAGCGAATCTCGCGTAATTAATTTTAACCCGTCGCTGCAACGCCGCTGCATGGTCAGACCCGTCCCTTTCATTTCTGAGTCGATTACCATCCCGGCCGCGTAGGATCTGAATTATCTCGAGTGTTTCCTGGCTGACGAATTCCCCGCCGAGATAACATCGTATTCCTTTCACGCGAACGCAATTCGAGGGGATGGGAAATTAAAAGCGACACGCGAGGGAACAACACGAAGCCAATAACGATTGAACGAGTTTCGAGTATTGATACTCCCATTCTGCTAGGGGCTACGTTGAATCTTGGACGAACTGAATAAATGTTCTCTCTATCAGAGTCCGTGGATCTGATTATAAAGCAAACAATTTGTAAACTAAACGGGATTTTTGTTCGAATAGAAATTATTGTTGAGAAACCCATTTGATAATTTTTGGAGACTCTGATATTTGTTTAGAGGCACTCTTTACATTACAAAATTGTTCCTGGTGTAATAAGTAACATTTGTTGTTTGTTCATTAAGGCTACAGACCCATACAGGTCTTGTGAGTAATATTTCTGATACAAAGAGCCATGTAATATTAGGTTGTCCCAAAAGTTTCGTCCATTTTATTAATAAGTAATGCATACACAATATTTTATGTCCAATGTTAAGTTATTGAATTGCGTACGATTCATTTTGCTCCACTGCTGTTACAACATTAACATCTAAGAAATCAGGTTGTCTATTTATATAAACACTGCCATATAAAATAATTGAGTGCAAGTCACGGAAGAAACTTTTGGGACAACCTAATATATTTTGTCGATTATGCAGAACTCTGATTGATCCAAGTATTTACCAATACAGTGTTCTGCATTACCAATAAAGCGATCTGTCGTATCGATCGAATGTTCTGCATTACCGAGTCATAGAAGATAACGAAAATTGATGAGTATCGAATAGAACGACAGTAAAATTCAAATTTTCTTTCGATTTAAATAAAGTATCTCGGTTCCGAGCAGTCTCCCGTCACTCCTGGAAACTCGGAGATGTTTTTGGCAGCCAACGGCGAGTATTCTCACGAGACTGACGCGTTTCCCCTTCGAAGGAAAACATCGCCAGCTATCGATCGCCTGGAGAATTTTCAAATCGTTTCTGGCTGTGTTGAATTATTTACTCTATCATTTTTAGATGAAGCTAAACTTTGAAATACTTTCGGTACAGGTATGCACCTTCTGTAATTGTTCTATACATTTAGCCATCTGAATTCGACATACAATTTTCAGCTTGAAATCTTCCTAGAACAGTGAAATAAATATTCGAAGGCTAGCGAGACTAGACAGACGCTAAGACGTCGTTGCTCGTGTCTATCATTACCTTTGTTTACAACCAGGCGTTGAAATTACCGTGTTCAACGGCTGTTTCTCGATTGTCTAGAAAGCGAAAGCACCCGCCATAAACAAGTAAACGACAACAGGTAGTATCCGACGAGTTGTTAATCTTGCACGTCGAGCAAGGAACGTGTGGATGTGAACGTAGCGACGAGTAGACTCTAAGAAATGGATTTCTTTTTGCAGAACGAGCGATTGTTACCACAATGGTTGTTTCCTTTTTTCCAGGGTTTCTTCAGGAGGAGCATTCAGAAGCAGATAGAGTACAGGTGCTTGAGGGACGGCAAGTGTCTCGTCATCAGATTAAATCGGAACCGCTGTCAGTACTGCAGATTTAAGAAGTGCCTAGCTGTCGGCATGTCCAGGGATTGTAAGTAACGATTCACTTTGCATCGATTGTAACAATGCTTTGTAAAAGACGCGAATGTATTCAAAGATTGTGCACAATTTCCTGGTGGTTACATTGTTCCGAGCACGTGCTCCGAGGTAGATAGGAGTCGCTCGGAAGGTCTTGCTTTGAAATTATACCTTTTCCGGGTCTCCGGATCCTCCATGCTTTAGTCGTGAAACGTTATCTATTTAAACTATGTCGTTGTGGATATGTACAGGAATATGAAGGGATACATTTTTTGAAGAAGTTTAGTAAGACATACAGTCAGTCCCGTAAACGTTCGTACCTTCTGTGTTTATTGAAAGAATTTGTTTAAATCAAATGATAGGTTCGATGTTTACAATAAATTTTACATTATTATATATATATATATATATATATATATATATATATACCTGTGTATTGTATATAATTTATTATGTAATTTAAATGTGATTGAAGGATTAATTTTGGTTCGATTCGTTAGTTATAAGAGCAAAGTTAAATTGCGAACAAATGAAAGAAATGATTTTCACTTAAAAAAAAAAGTTCTTTGAGGGAAAAAGAAGACCAAATTAAAAAAGTCGAAACTTGTACATGTACACATTTATAATGAAACATTTATTTGAAAACAACGAACCTATTATTTAATTTAGACAAACTTCTTTGATATACATAGAGGTTACGAAGACTTCTGGGACCGACTGTATTTATCAATGATGTTTACCATAACAACAATTTTGTTAAAAAGGAAATTAATGTATAAAGATACTTTTAAAGACACTTTAAAAGAAACTAAAGAATACTCGAGTTACCTTCATCCGTCGAATAAATTTACTTTGAATGAATATTCGTATCCGACAGACACCGAATAAAAATAATGATACGGTACATTCATTCGAGTTTTTATTTAAATGATTCCGTTATCTAGATACTGCCCATCTCTGAATAAATGACAAACTTCGCACAGTGGTTGGTCTGTCAGTCGTCCACACAATTGTTTCCCTGACGAGTTCAATTCATACTCGAGCGATAAATAACCCCGGTGTCTTTTCCATCGCGGTATTTCTGTCCTCCCTTAACGACGGAGGAGGTAGAACACGCCGAAGCGAAGTTGCGTGCATAATTAAACGTCAAAGTTCCACGGTGTAGTTCGAGGTAATGTGTAACAGGCTATCCTCGGAGCTTCCCTCTCGCATTGTCGACGAAATCGTAATAAGCTTTTAGAACGTTGCGAAATGAATGTACATATTACATTACCAGGGATAAAGCTGTCCGAAAGCTGTATCCACTGCTGTCCGGTGCGATTATCTCGACCACGGTACGTGTTAATTTTGCAACCGTGCAATTGTTTCGGAGGGAGAACTTTTAAGGAGAATATTGAACAAGTACAGTAGAACTCCATTACACAGGACTCCAAGTAGTGGTTCGCGTGAAATTGGACACTTTTCGAAATAACTTCGAAATAACGATTTTTACGAAATTCGAACACGATGTGATATTTATCACGTTGTCTGCTAGACTGAGACTCGTGAAAATTTCTACAAAGTTATAATTCTGTCCCGAGACTATCGAAGATCAGATTGTTTAACACTTGTCTCAGAATTTAATTTGTTAACCTCGCCAAATTCACGAATCCTATCTAGATTTATTTTCATTGTCGCCTCATCTTCGGAATTAGTTTTTTTTAATTCCGAAGATGAAAAGTCCTGTCATCCATTTCTGCGTGACGTGGCAAATAACGTGTTAAATGTGCGTTTCTTTCAGCTGTGAGGTACGGCAGGGTGCCAAAGCGTTCAAGGGAACGCGGCCCCGACGACGCAGTGCCCACCACGACAACAACGACGACAACGACCACTGGTGTGCAGCAGCTGACGTCTCCCAGCGCTGGGAACAATAACAACAATAACAACAACAACAATAACAACAACACCAGCCAAAATAATAATAACAATAGCCAGGGTCAGAACACCATAGCCTGCGTGCCATTAGCAGCAGTTGTGGAAGCGGATCAGTCGGACGCTGACGTGAAACAGTTGGCTGTTTACGACGTAATACTCCAAGTCTCTCAAGCGCATCATGCTCACTGCGGCTTCACAGAGGAATCAACGAGGGGCATCGTTCGGAAACCGATGATAATACCGGTGAGTTTGGTGAAATTTTATCGATAAAGATAAACCAATGGTTGTTAATTATTTTGGTAGGGAGACATCCTGAAATAATAATAGTTTTCGTTGTAAACTAATGTATTTGAAGATAGTTTGTTGAAGAAAAGTTGCAGTAACGATAGTAAGTTAACTTAATGAATGAAATTTTGATAAAATAACGAAAGTCACGCCAACGAAGGGATGGAAAGGTTTCATTGATTTCCAAATTTCGAGTTCAGTTTTAGAATCGATGCTCCAAAAACTCTTGTATACCAAGTTTGACTTACAGTCACGCTTGGTTTTAGTCTGTTGCGTTGCAAGAACTTTGATTTTTGGGATGTTGAATCCTTTAACATTAGAATCACGTAAGAAATCTTCTGCTGGAACCGACAGCAACGCCTGTTTCTTTTACAATCCCGCTGATTAGGCGAGTGCTTCTTCGCAGCCTGCCAGTCCAGAGGACCCAGAGGCGGCGTCCTCGACAGCGGAAACAGTCGAGTCGCAGAGGATCTGGCTCTGGCAACAGTTCGCCACCAGAGTGACGCCATCGGTGCAAAGGGTGGTAGAGTTTGCCAAAAGGGTGCCAGGATTCTGCGATCTCTCGCAGGACGATCAGCTGATACTGATCAAGGTTGGTTTCTTCGAGGTCTGGCTCAGCCATATCTCTAAGATGACCACTGACAGTTCGATGACTTTCGAGGATGGTACTTATATCACTAGGCAGCAAATGGAATTGATGTACGAGGTAAGAACGAGTTACTATTTTTGAACAGAAGAACAGAAGCTGACGCTTTGTATACTAACCTTAGCTTTCGTCAATCTCCCTCTAATGAATTTTTGTATCATTAAACCTCTTAATAAAGTTTAATAATGAAAATAAAGTTTTGACATTACCAGATAATCGATAGCCCGAAAAATCGAAAATTAATCCGAAGATTGACGTTCTAGACTTGAATACCCTCTTAAGATTTTGTTTTCTAATAAAATATGTCCATCACTATAGTCGTGGTGAACACAAACGATATCATCATTTCATACTATTTTTATTGAAAAATAAGATCCTAAAGGCCCTTTTGGAAATCCTTTTGCTTCCTAAAGCCTTCGTTTATCAGCTTTCGAGACCTTTTCTCAAATTAACCAACACTTCACACAATACTTTAATAATTAATCGTTGTAAAACAAAACAGCCGGACTTCGTGTCAGCTTTGATGCAATTCACATCGGCCCTAAACGCTCACCAACTATCGGACACCGAGCTGGGCCTTTTCTCTGGCGCTGTTCTTCTGGGCGAAAGGCCAGGCCTGAACGACGTGAAAGCGGTGCAAAGGCTTCAGGATCGTCTTCTGGAGGCGCTCAAAGTGCAAGCGTTACGGAACCACACTGTCCCTGGTGAAACAACATCCACGGGTGGCTGTTCCAGCATCTCCAGCGTTTCTCAGAGGATACCGGAACTAAGGGCCCTGGGTGCCAGACACGCGAATCTCCTCGACTGGTTCAGGAGGAACTGGACGAAGCTCAAACTACCGCCCCTCTTTGCCGAGATATTCGACATTCCCAAGTGCGAGGAAGATCTTCAGTGAAGAGGTGATCTACTTCTGAAAAATGTTCCCATTTCTTTTATTATAAGTAATTAGAAAAAATACTATCGTTGGGTCTTTTTGCCTAAATTCAATTACAGGTTTAATTTTTCATTAGAAGTATATACATGCGTAAAGATAATACATGTACATATTTATAATGAGTAGACTGCGGATCTTTATGGATTTATAGAAAATTTGAATGTGCAAGAAACTACAAAATGCAAACAATATCCAAGAATATAAAAAAGATTGAAAGTAAAGTTCATGTTATAATATTTGCAGAATGAAATAAATTCCTATTTAGGTTCAATTTTTATAGGGACGTTCGCGAATATTTTATTTTGCATAACGACCCACGGTCTAGTAATGAGACATTTAATTGGAAAAATTAAACCTATCATTAAATTCAGGCAAATTTTTTCGACAGACATAGAGGGTACACTTGTGGGACTGACTGTATATACAAATGTTAATTTTAAATTCTCTTTCGTCCAACATTACATGTATTATAAATATAATATCCAATCAATACGTTATTTGAAACATTCGTTTATTCAAATTTTCAAAATAAAATCGTTAGAAATATGTTACATTATTCCGATAGCGTCCTGGTTAAAATACAACGGCTGACACGCGTAAAGCTCGCCTCTCCCAACTAGTTTCCCAACTTTCTATAACGCGTTTCACCGTTCTAATTCGACCGCCCGCTCCATAAATCCACGTTTGCATTTTAATCCTCCTCCCCCCGAAATCTACCTTGATTTGCAATCCAAACCACCCCGTCGGTCTGACACCAGAGGGGGACTTCTAATCGGTGGATCCTCTTTGAAGAATGTTTCAGAGTACATCGAGTTAATTCGACGAAAACGAACGGCCCTGCCAGGGGAGATTCTTCTAATTGCCAGCGCTCATCGCACAAAACATGGTTCAGGGCTTCGAGGACGATTTGTTCTTCGATGGCCGAGCGATGGTGTACAACGTAGACACGATGGGTCGACGCTCGTCGTTTCGATTGGAAAAAGAACGCGGGAGGATCCGCTGCTGATTTGTCGCGTCTCGGTGGGATCGATCCCGCCAGGATCCCATCGTGTGGAAGATGGATCGTTTCGTGGCGAAGGGTACAGATCGTCGATTGAAACGCTCTCGGGTCGAGACTAAAGGGAGAAAGCGTTATTCGATTAGTCGACGAGGGATGAACCGAATCACGCGATAAGTCGAAGCTTCTTTCGATTATTGAGAAATTTCTAAGCTTCGAAGAAAAAAGACGTAGAAATTCTCTTTGTTTAATTATTTTTTTTTTAAATTGAAGATATTCCGAATTTTTGAATTGTCCTAGAGGATAAGTAAAACGTCAAAGTGAAATGATGAGGGATGAACTCGATGAATCGAAGCTTCGGTCGATTCAAGCTGATTCTTCAAAAATTCCCTAGCTGAGAAAAAGAAGAGGAAAACTGTTGTCTTTAGAATAATTATTAAAATACCATAAGGGATGGAAGGTCTCGGAAGGTAAATAGAAAGCAAATGGAAACTCAATTAACGAGAGATGGACGAACTCGATGAATCGAGGTTTCGATCGATTCGAGCTGATTCTTCAAAAATTCCCTAGCAGCAAAGAGAATATTTTTGTTTAGAGTAATTATGGGAAAACGCAAGCGATAAATCGAAGGTCTAAATTAGCTCAAAGGATAAATGGAACGCGTTAGGAGTTTCACTTAACGACAAGGGGTGAACTGAATTATGGGGTTAATCAGGACTTTTCATGAAATTCCTAAATTTTCGAAAAAAAAAAAGGAAATCTCTGCAATAATTATAGAAAGAAAATAGAATGCTTTGAAGTTCTAATCTGCTGCAACAGATCAATAGAAAATGACAGGAGTTTCAGTCGATGATGAGGGATGAAAAGAATCACGCAATAAATCAAATCTTCTTCCAACTGATTCTAATGAAATTCCTGAGCTTTGAACAAAAGAAACAAATTTTGTTCGTGGAATTATTTAAGAAAAGAAGAAACCAGCAAACGATGTTTCGAATTTTTAATTTGTCCCAAGAGGGTGAATTACGAAAAGAAATTTCAACTGAACGAAAGAGCAAAGAAACAGAAGTACTGTCCCTTAAATAGTCACTTAAAAAAATAAAAATAGCAAAGGATATTTCAAAGTTACATGAACAGAAAAGGAATTTCAATTGACGACAAGGGACGAAAAGAATCATGCAATAAATTGAAGCCTCTTCCAACTGATTCTTAACAAATTCCTGAGCCTTGAAGAAAGAAACGGAAAGAATTTTCGTCTCTAGAATAATGATAAAAAATCAGAGCAGATGATAATTCGGGGTTCTGAGTTGTTCCAACGGGATAAACGGAACGTTGACTTTCGATTCGACGAGATTTGTACCGTTTGCTACGCAGCGTCGCGCGCTGCACCAGCGGAAGTATTTAAATACTCAATCGACGAGGAGGAGGATATAAGTTTTTCGCGTTGTTAGTATCGCGCATATCGTTGTTGCAATAATGCGGCGCAGTGATCGAACACGCGCCGCGCGAAAAGGATAGCACAAAAACCGTTCCCGAGTGATAATTCACGAGGTAACTTTTATTAGAAACCGCGAACAGGCGTGTATTGTACGGAGAAAGAAAGATCAGTGGAAGGAATGGCGTGTCGTAACGAGTTAGACACTTCAGTCAGGCTGCGGTGGGCTTTTGACAAGCACTCACTCGATACTGTTCACGTTCTACTTACTCATGCTGTGCACAACATTCTACTCTAATCGACTGATCTTTTTTTCTCCTCGCGATGGAGCAGAGATGGGCAAATTTCTTATATACACATAAATTTTAAACAACGAATGATTGATCGTCGAAGAAATGTTCGATTTAAACATTCGAACATTTTAAGATCATCTTTTACCAAGCTGAATTTGATTAAGTATTAAATTCGTAGCAAGGTATCTTAAAATAATTAATATAATGGTTAAAGTTTACTTCGGGGCACTAAAAATTACTGACCTCCTTTTTTACCATTTAGTAGCTTTAATGCCTAGAATTCATTAATCTAAGTTTTAATGTTAGGAATCCAACGGTTTAAAAATTATGCGTAAGTAAAGTTGAGCATTTCGGCGTGTTTCGCAGGTTAATGCTGCGCCATATTGGCTTTTACAATCGCCCAACCAACATGCGCCAAGAAATTAGACTCCAAACCTACTCGGACACTATTTTCGTAACGTGTTTTAACATTTTGTTGTTATTTACAAATGTATTGTTCATCTACGAGCATCTGTATACAACAAGTTGTCGGAAGAATGACATTCCCTATCTAATTGACCAACAGAGCATCGGTAAATATATGACGTCGAATTAACCAGTCAAATTGTTTAACCGTTGGATTCCTAACATTAAAACTTCCATTTCAGGGATCAAAAGCTAATGGTATAAACAAAGTAAATAATTTTTACTGCCTCGAAGTAAAGTTCAGCCTATATAATGTATAATATGGGACTATTGAAACGATTGTATAAATATTAGAGTAACTTTGAAGAAAGAAGAGACACAATAAAAGTCGTTCAAGGATGACGAAGAACTTTTTCCTACTTTGGTATACAAAAGACATGATAATAGTAATCTGACCAGAGGTCATTATTACATAAAGTATGTCTTTCTGTATATACGTTTGAATTGATTGTATTCAAGAAATTCTAAAAAGTATTTAAATATCTTTCAAACCACTACTTTGTTCAACACAAATTACCTTAACAATAAGTATAAAATTTAATTAATCGATTTACATTAAAAATTCAAGTTACCTCGAAAATAATTGTTCGATGATATAAAAATGGCGAACGAATCGCCGTATGGTGTTTTTGTTCGTTTATTTATTCTTCAGGGAAAGTTTTGTCCATCTCTGTTGTTGAGCGAAGGGACGAACGTTCCGCGTGAAGCGTTCAATCGATACAGTTTCTGGGCTGAAACTCGCAGACATATCGAAAGTGTGGAATCGTATTTTTTCCTTGCCCGTAGTAACTACCGGAACGATCTTTCCATCCCTCGCTTAGAAAGCTGTAAACACGACAGACAAACTGCATGCCAGCGCGTGTCGCGTCGGCTGCAGCGCGTACGAACGAACACTTATACATATTATACAGATCTATACAAATGGAAAGAAAAATGAAAGAAGAAAGAGTTTCACGCTATAAAGCTCAAGAAGAGGAAATCTTTATAGGAAGTATCTCTCTAGGATGCATCCGCTACGAATCTTAATCTATGCAATCTCTATTTTTATTACTTGACAAGTAGTATAGTGGATTTACCTTTATAGATATTGTTGCGTCGCTTCAGGATGGTCAGCGGTGAAACGACGAATTTAGATGTTCAGGCCTCGCTGTTCTTTCGTTGAATTTATCGGTCGACGTCGACTTTTGATGTTAAGAAATAGGAAAAAAGGAATTATACAGTGACGTGGTCCCATGTTTGTTGAGTAGACAATTTTGATGTGATTATTAGTCGACGCTAGGAGACTGAAAATGTCTTCGACGTCAATGGTTGGGCCCTTTTTGTGTACTTAGGGGTTCTGAGTTAGACAAGTTATGACATTATTGATTAATAATTTAATTGTATTATGTTATAATGTAAAGTAAAACCACTATGATTGGGATCCACTTTCTACACTTGGAAGTTTTAAATTGAGTAAGTTAATGATACTATAAATTTACGGTTCATAATCTCGCTTATTTTAAAATTACAATTACCTATGTTATTAAATATTTTTCGGTAAGCTCTAAATATACATATAAAGAAGATCCAAACATGGGAGTCGAGAACGTTTCGTATCTTCTTTTAGAGACTAACATATTAAAATTGATCATACAGTAGTTCTTCGCTTCGGGATGAAAAATGGGGTGCGTCAGCTATTTCGAATCGAAAAGGGGATCGATAACTTCAAAGTGATGCCACACATTGTGTTAACCAATGTGTTAACTAACTTCACATAGAATTTTATATATTTTTCGTTACATCTTCGCGAACACACTATCAATAGGCAGTCGAAGTTTTCTTAATGAAAATGAGTTCGAACACGATCTTATTCGAAGGTGCCCGTTTTTGTGATATTAAGAAGTGTTTCGTTATACACGCAATTAAAAGTAATTTAAATGCGGTCATGTTTCGACTCATTTTCATTAAGGAACTCTCATCGATCCGTTTCAATATTAACCATACACTTTCCGTTTTTAAAAACCGGATAGCAACGAAAGAATGCAAGTGTCCTGTAAATATGTTGTAACAAAATTAAAAGTAATTTAAATGCGATCGTGTTTCGACACATTTTCATTAAGAAAACTCTCACCAATCCGTTTCAATATTAACCATATACGATTCCATTTTGAAAAACCAGACAGCAATGAAAGAATGCAAGTGTCCTGTAAATATGTTGTAAGCCAGTGGCTAAAAAGTGGAGACTAGAAATCGCTGCATTAGAGGATGAAATTCCACGCGAAGCGAAATGCGACGAAAAGCGCAAAGAAAAATGTAAAGGGCTTGCGCCTTGTTACCGCGGGAAGAATTTCGTCGCGAAGCGAGGGACTGCTGTACTTCTCGACGCGCGAAAACGAAAAGTTTGAATCGAGTCCAGCCGTTGTGTATTTTATAATAAGTAATTGTTGCGTTAAGTTGTTGCATTTGTTGTTATTGATTCGATCGATCGACGATCATTGGCGAGCAATCACGGTCGACGGAACGTTTCCCCGCGTTGTTGAAATGATCCTGAAGCGAGCATGTTTGAAATCTTCGAACTCTTGAACACTAATAACTCTCTGACAATGACTAGCATGTAATGCGTATCGATATGTAATATATATACATATACATATACATTCATCGTGTGAGAAACGGGGAGGGGGGGGGGGGAATTAGAACTAAGTTTATCACTAGAGAAATTAATGTTTTACCTAGCGTCGTACTTAAATTAAAAACTAACGTAACGTCGGCACATTCGCTATATCGCTGCAGGGGATGAAAATTGTGGGGAGGGGGGGGGGAGGGGGAGAAGACTATCGTCGCGATAACTAGAAGGTAAAACAAAATTCCAACTCTAAGCGCTCACATCAAGTTGTGAATAAACATATCATACCTAATTAATATATTGAACAAAGAAGGGATATCATCGTTTAATATAATATAAATATGAGTCTATATATATATATATATATTAAAAAAAAAAAGTATACATATATATAAATATAAAGATTATAAATCTATATGCAAGAAGAATAGTTATTAAACGCATTATGTCGAAAGAGCGTAGATCTAACAATGGTAGGCCATCTTTCCAAATCGCTACTCGCGCGAGAAAAACAAAAGTACAGCGTCCCTTTTCTCAATTTTGATTCCTGCATCGAAGAAATAAGAAAGAAAAAAAAAAATAAGGAAACGGAAGTTAACTAGAACTGCTTCTCTCTCTTACAATCTACCAAAACAGATCTGCGCGACGAGAAGTGACGTAATAACAAACGAGAAAATATAAGAAGCACGCGAGTATCTCGCTGATAATCTTTAAATTATTTACTATTCTCGTCCTCTTCGAGACGTGCATGGAGGAAAATCTCAGTAAAATGTAAATTGAGTCACCTGGTATATAATGTATGTATGTATGAGAATTTTTATGCTCGTTGTACATAAATTCTGTAATTCGAACGATCTTAACGGCTGTCCTAATAATCTTCGTCGACTAGAAGCGAGAAAAGAAAACTTATACGAGGAATGTGAGAAAGAGAGAGAGTAAAAAGTCGCGACATTTTCCTCCTGTGATATTTGAATTGCGATTCGTTTTTCAAAATTTCTAGTCCCCACGACTTATTCGCCGAGCTAATAGCAATCGCGTATTCTACGATACTCTCGTGAACGTCGAATGGAACACGTTTATTGAAACGGCCAAATACTTAATAACGTTATTAATTATAATGTAACGTTTACTCGGTCACGTTGGTCGATCGCCTTTCGTTCCATTCTTTTATGCTGTATTAATCATGTCAGATCTCACGAGTGGTTGAATTTGTCAGTTAAAAATTTGTAGATGCCTCGAAACGTTTACTTAATTATGTTTTATTCCTGAAATTTTAATATGGTTACGAAAATATAGTAAAAATAATTGAAAATTAAAGAAGCAAAACGAATCTACAAGTAGAAAGGTTCGATGGTGAATGTAGAATAACTGAAGATGAAATACCTGAGATTTCATTAAAGTTCTTCGTTTGTGAAACTGCCCTCATCGACGAACGCCATTCTTTCTTTGACCCAAACGTTACTTCGTTTCATGAAATCCAGAGAACAGTCTGGCAAGCAATCTTTCTTTTTCTTTGAGACTCGCGTTTGTTTTCTGTCTCGCTACCACTTTTAAATTAAGAATAGTTTCCGAGGGTAAGGGTGGAAGTCGACCGGCCAGCGTAATCGAGAAACTGTAAGAATAATAATTGAGATAGTATCCTTTAAAAACTCAAGCGTAACATCCCCTTCTTTCCCTCCTCTCGTGTTCCGACCGAAGCGCAAGTTCACCCTCCTCCCAATCACGCTTTTCCCTCCCAACAATCAGAGGTAGGCAAAGTTCTATGATCAAATTTCTAGATTCAAAAAACTCTAGAATTCAAAATATAAATAGAGATTTCAGGTAACGAATAAACAACAAATAACTGTCCACTCAATATTCGTTGAAGTAACAAAAAATTACGATTCGAATTACAAAGCGAAAAGAACAAATTTGCAAATAAAAGTTTCCAAATGGACGAATAATAATTGAGCACGTTCGATCGATTAAATATCGTAAAACGAATTGATACACGATTTGATTTATTCGTTATCTATTAATCGAATAAAATTTTGCCCGTCTCCGTCCTAATACAATCTCGTTTCCATTCTCCCCGATGAATACCATCCGCTCTTCGCCTCGTGTAATAGTTATTTTTTAACCTTGAGATTTCGGTCATGGTGCTATAATACGTGTACATATACTGTGGGAATCGTTACGTAATCAATGTACCATTATTATTAACATTATTCGAGCTAATCGTATCCCGTAATTATGATTACAATCTATCATTACAATTATTTTATTACTTTGTTATCACACTGATATCGATTATTGTCGAATCGGCGTAACGTTTAATTGTGCGTCGAGCTTAATTCGTCTTGTGCGTTCGATTGGGAAACGCTAACAAAGAAAAAGAGGCGGTTCCTTTAATTTTTGTTCAGAGATAAATCTATATAAATATAAATATATATATATATACAGTAAATATATATATTATAAATAATATGTTCCGCCCGTAAGACAGGACTCTGCAATAATCACGATTTTGTTTGATATTGATTCTATGATTGTATATTTATACATAAGTTGTGCTCAAGCGTGCATCACGTTGCGTACGCTCTATCGCATATGTTATACCGTACTCTTCTTTTTTATAATAGGCGAGATATCGACTGCATACTATACCTATACCGGATGTTTTATAAATCGCAACGCAGCCAATAATGGTGGATTTCACGGCGAGACGTAAGACGACCTCCAAAAACAAAGAATATTCTTCGTAATTACGAATAAATATTTCGAATAAGAATTTTAAATATTACATTCGATGAAAAAATGTCAAATGAATATTTCGGATAAACGTTTTCCCGTAGAAACACCGTACGAAAATTAATTTCTACGTTGAGTCGATACTGCTTGAAATCACGCGCTTCTACTATTTTCGAAATGGTCGTTCTACGTCCGGCCTGGAGCCACCCCTATATCTTCTGATCGATTCATAATTTACAAAACAGCCTATGTAACACGATGTATCGAGACGATAAAGAGATAACGACGACGACGGGACGATGGAGTGCCAAGCGAGGCGGGAATTGTTCTTAAAAAAAAAAAAAAATGAAAATGAAAGAAAACAAAAAATATAATATTACATATATATGTATAAAATAATATAAACGACGATAATGATATTAAGGTAAATAAGTACGACAAAACGACTGCTCTATACTGCTAAAGTACAAATGTTTCATTTTAATTGTTTTATAAAGAGAAAAAAAAAAAGAAACGATACGATTTGTTAGAGATTAGGTTTAATGCGTCCACGCTCGCGCGCGATGTACGTGTAATTATATTTATTTGTTAATCTCTCTATCAGCATAATAACGTGGCCCCCTTCACATACCGAGTGTCTCACTTCGCAACACATCACGCAACATCACACAAGGGATGCTCGATTCTTGTAAAAAAAGAAAAAGAAAATCAATTTTGAATGGGAAAGACTAGAATTCGCTGAAAATCGTGTCCTAAGAGATCTATCTGTTGAAAAATCGTTTTTTTATTACTAACTATGTACATATATCTCACATATATACTTTCAGATTTCCAAGTTACATTTGCGTTACTTTTAAGCCATTACAATGGAAAACACTTAACCAGAAATTAAATGATAAATTAACTCCTGTTTCGTTTCAAGAATGTCTTTTTCACCCTATGTATACTTCATGTAATATTTCCCCAAATCGAAGCGACATAAAATTGATTTTATGCTATACACTTCTTTGATTTCTATTCTTGTGACACATCCTCTGTCTAGCAATTTTCTCCTTTCCTTTTTCTTCGTATTGTTTGGAAACGTTGGTTTCAATAGTGCTATGTATTTTCACTTATCGTAGATTGTATATATTATATTGTATTCCGAAGGGAGTTTCTAATTAAATTTTTCCATTTACTTCTGTGTACGTTATTGCCCTCAAAAATCAAATACACTGTCTCGTTTTTGAGACCTATTGCGCCAACTCTTGTTTATTAGTTATTTATTAAATTGGTTACATATTCGAAAATAATCAATCTTGGATATGGTCGAGCGATGGTTGCGATTGTCGACTGTAATATTGTCTGTTTTTGGAAATACATTTGGCATTTTCTAATATTTAATTCTTCAAGAATATTCAATTTAAAAAATGTATAAGCTTCAGCAAAAAAATTTGCTTGTACCTCGAAAAGAACGAGAGAAAAACGAAGTAAAATCGATTCAAGACAATGAAATCCACCTGAAAATTCTCTAAAAACATGATTCAAAATCGAGCATCCCTACATCACACACTTACACATTGGGAAACGTAGCTCTGTTCAATCATGATACGATGATTCATTTCTATGACGTTTCAATTCACTTTTGCTTGATACATTGAGAACGATCCATCAATTTCAGAAACTACTACGTTATAATTTTAAAAAGTCCACTATCGTAAAGCAGAAGATTGCGAAATATTTTTCTAATAAAACATTTGCTCTACTTTTAATACGACCCTCGAATAAACTTAGAACATCGAAAAGGGATCGCGAGAACCAGTGTTGAGCAAAAGTGAATCAAGGAATAAAAATGGAACATTTGTATTCGAATTAGAACAAATACGCTATTATTGTCGTTGTTTGAATCGACACATTCAGCCATATATTTTCGTTTTATTCACGAACATTAATCAAGCATTGTTTTCGATTTTACATAATGTTATATACTCGTGAACGTACTTAATCACACATTCGCACACTCACACACACTACACAGTATCGTTTCATCCGATTGCCAATCGGTTCGAGACATTTCATGACATATCCGACAAATCCGTCAGCGATTCGAGCTACACTTAATCCTTTGCGGTCCAACGTGTTTCCCCTGTTTCCTGTCATATATTAATTCCAACGAAATGCTTCGGGATAAAGTAATGCACGTTTCTGAATATGCCAATAAATATCCGTTGCCGCGACAACTATTTCTATTGCGTATAAATAATTTTTAAGGAATTATGTATCATGTTTTGGTTTACAAATAAACGTAAGCATGGCAAAGTACGATATCAAAATAATTAAACGTTGCGAACAAATCGCTATACGGAGTCCTTTATTCGTTGTTTGTCGCTCGAATAAAATTTTGCCGATCTCTGCTTTCATAATGTTCGCGATCTGATGGATGCACGAGAAACAAAAAAAAAAATGGGAAACGAAATATATCTCTATTCATGCATATCGTCGCAATAACCGATCAATATTTTATATTCTCTCCTGTAAGGCAAAAGTTTGTCCGCTTTGGCTCTTTGCGAACCCGCGCATCGATCCTCGATCGCTATTTTTCTAGGTCCTCTCCGATAACTCTCTTTCCTCTGACAAGGAAAAGTATGGAACACTGAATTTTCGAATACTTTCGAAGATTGTATATAAATAGAGTAATTCATTCGCAACGCGAAACCATGTTTCTGTTGGCGCTGTAAAAGCTCCGAATATATCGATATTTCAATACTTTCTGAGTGTTCAGTTTCCTAACTTCTTGCTTGCAAGATCTAAAGCTGTCGATGGGAATGTTTCAACGTAAAATTGTGTGTTAGCAAGGACTATCATATTAGAAGAGCAAAAAACAGTTCGCAGAAAGTTAAAAGTACTTGGACAAAATTTGTCGACGATAGGACAAATGCTTGACAATTTTAGTGTCGAGGATCGCCATCGCGCTCTTCGATACTCTAGCGAAAAAATACAAAAACTGCGGCGAACACTTCTGTTTCTTCCTTTGTGGAACAGCTGTTGAACGTAACATGATTTATCGCACGTCCAGCAGTTGTCTTCTCGTTGAGAAAATCGTTCGTGATTCACTGTTATTTGATCAGTATCAGTTAATAAACTTTTTAAATAGTGTTAAAAATATAAAAACTATGTCTTCTTTCTTTCTTCAGCCCTCCATTTTATCCACACTCCTAATGCACTTTCCCTCACCCTTCTTATCTATTTCTTATGAAATTTATTATTTTGTCGACGATTCGATCTCACTTCTGCACGAAAGAAAGAAAATAAATTAAAAAATTAAACACGGAGAACGAGGTTTCCGACAATGATCTCGATCAAGACTACGAGATTATTCTGAAAAGGCTCAATAAAACAGAATCTGAATCAGACGATGTTTATTAGTTTATATAGGGAAGGTAGCATACAGAGTTTTTTATTTATAATACAATTTATTTCCATTTTACAGTATGGAAGTTTAAGGAGGAAAGGTATTAATGCTAACAATTTTTCAGAATGATTAGTTTCGTTTTGCTTTCTTCTTCTGCTTCCTAGTTAATCTTTTGTGCGACTTTAGACTTGCTTTTTCAGCTTTCGCTCTACCTTTTTTGTGTTTGACAATCTTTCGCAAACTCATCCATATCGGATAGTTTCCATACTGATCTTTCAGTGTCTTTTTATTGTATACCCTAACATTACTCGACTCTACATCCATTTTTTGTCCATCTGTTTCTGTTTTCTTTGCCTTTTCATTTTCTTTTATTGTTTTGGCGTCAACAACTAAAAAAGAAGTAGAATGGATTAGTAATGATTATATTTCATATTATTAAACTATAAAAATCTCCACGGAGACTTTTCATTTATATTTTTATCATTTTTGTAATAAACACTATATATTTATCTTACCTGTAGCAATTTCTGATATCTCTGCCATTTCAGCATCTTGCGATCCATACTCATCGATACACAATGTTTTTTTTAACCTTTCCAATTCTTTTGCACCATAACGTTCCCTTTTAATTGCTCTACACTTTCTTTTCCACTTACTACGCAGCGATTTAGCCATTTTACTGTTGCGTATCTAAAAACACTTCATTTTATATAACGAGTACGTTAATCTTGATAATAAAAACTGAGAAAATGTCACGCATTTGTGAAATAATATTGTAAAAAGAATCGAAGGTGTAACATAACCTCAAATATAAAAAAACATTATGGATTAGGAATAGTAAACGAATTGAAAAACTTAAAGAAGAATAAGGTCACTTACTTAAATAGCACTTATTCTATTTGGATGTATCTTCAACTGTTCTTTGCAAATATTTTACCAGGCTTAAATGGAAAATACAACTAATCACGTGTCGTAAACGAGCAATGCTAATAACAGAGTGAAACCTAACCAAGTGATGCCAGGTGTTGGGTTAGGTTCCCTGTCGATAAGCGTACAACTTGATTGGTGGTGCCCTCTGTGGTCACAATTTGTAGAAACGATATTCATATATCGATATTTTCGAGTAATCGAAAGAAAAATTTAAATTTCAAAAACAGCGACGCGCGAACTTAAGCGCCTTCCTAATAACTCGAACCCGTAATTTTCATTTCGTTCATGTTTCATTCATATTTCATTAGACATTTATACTATAATCTCGAGGAAAGACTTCATACATACATATGCATAAACATATAAACTATGATTTTCATAACTTTCCATTTCTAAAACGGTAGAAAACGATTAACTGCGCGCGATTTATAATGCATCCAACTTTCTAACGATAAATAGCAATTCCCTCGAAATTAATTCAATGTTTGAAGTAATCGTTTAAGCTGAATAAAAATTGCTCGTAAATTACGTTTCTTTTTTCACGCTGAAAAGGAAAACTCTCAGAAAGTCGCATAATGCATTGTATTTTCCTTTGCCAGTGACGTATCCATTTCAATGGAACAAAATTCAGAGAAAGACAACTACAGTGAGGTGTTTCAAATCGCCTTTTTCCAGGTGTGCTTACAGGTGCATTCATCTTGTCAGATTGAAATTGTCCGAGTGTCCGATATCCATATCGTTCATTCGGAAGCCAGTACTATTTGACTGCGATAAATGCCTTCTCGCCAGTCGATAAATTATTTTATCAAGTGTAAGTGCACAACATAGGCAAATCCTGATAAACTAGTTCTTCCAAGCGCCGCGTAAGACGGAAACGTCGGTCAATTTCGCGATTAACACTTTCTAAGCCGTATCGTCCACTCGGTATTTAGAAGTTGTGATCCACTTTTCACTCGGCTCGTAACATATTTATGCATGTCCAGTTTTCGCGTGACGACGCCTCGAGTGCAGAATGATCTCGTATTCTGATTACCGTTTCACACGTTCACTGTCCAGGCAGCTCCTGAGTCTGATTTATAAAATGACACGTCGTTCTGGACCAAACTGCTTATCTAGTGAACAGAATTCACAAAGCTAAGTACTGTTTAGGAAAATTCGGCAATGAGATGAAATTGAATGGAAGAAGAGGAGCGTTCAATGGAGGATGAATTCATGTTCAAGGGATGAAGATTACTCGTGAACTTTTAGATGAAATGTTTATTTAATTAAATTTCGTCTGAAAAGAATACTTAAATAATTTCATTCTCAACACCTTCGGATTGAATTCATAAAATAACGAAGGAGGAAATAAAAAATTCGCAAGTATCAGATCAAAACTAGTGTAACAATTTATGAACGATCTCTATTGTCTGATAAATCAAGAAAAGTTTCGCAATATTCGCAATACTTTGAAACGTCATTAGGTGTGAATCCGTGATTATCGGTAAGTGACAATCGCACCGTGCTACGAGGAATCGTTAGTGTGACGACATTAGAGGCCACTATCACGGGACCTCTTATCAGCGAGTGTCGGTGGTGTATAAACGTACGAGGAGTGACTTGTTAATGTAGTAATAGGCCAAAGCGTCGCGGCGGAGTGTGTACGTGGGCAGCGAGACACGTTCTGTTTTTCGCATTGTCGGGCCAAGTAGTTTGTTAACGGCGGACGTCGGCGATGTCATCTTCAGGGTTTAACGAGGAGTAAGTAATACTTACGATCTCTCCAAGCGAGTCGCCTCGAACGACTTCCGCGCTACAAATTGTCAGAGGCTTCGCCGTGGTCAAGCGAAATCGCCCGGTCTTAGCGATCTCGAGTTTGTCGAATACGATCGCGCCGGATGGGAACTGGTCTCGTCGTATAAATTTATTATTCGGTTAAGTGGAACGCCGTTGAAACGTTTCGTCGTATCCTGAATAAATTATGCCGCACTCGAGGCGTAGGAAAGCTGCATTCGACGTTGTTTCGCTTTCTGACTTTTGACGAATTTTAAATTATTAGGAGTGGACGGTAATTCTCAGCCCCCAACTTCCACCGATCATAAAATTCGTTTGCATATGAATGCTCGTTCAGCAATTCATTCACTTTGAAATGCGATCTGGTACCCTTTAACCCTTTATTTATTAGCGAGACTTATTGTGACTTTCAAGTCCACTTCTATGACGTTCGTTCGTTATTTCTTTTGGAAGCTTGATAGAGACAACTCTATAAGATGATGTAAGACCAAGATAGACGCCTAGATTTTTAGAACTTTTGACAAATTCAGTAAATAAAGGGTTAAAACGAGTTAACATTATATACATGTTTTAGGTAATAATCAAGTACAATGAACACAGCACTGCATTGAAGAATTCGTGTCATTCATACAGATAACGATTTCTCTTAAGGACACTACCTTTTAATCAGGTCACCAGAAAGGATAAACTATTAGCCAACAACGTGGCTTATCAATTACGGTATCGCTACGTATAGTTTGCTCTATCGAGCAAATATTACAGAGCGGATATAAAGTGTGATTAAATGTTTGAAGTCTGACGTTTGCAAACCAAACTAAACCGTGATTGCAAGGTTTGGGTCCTTCGTTTATCGTGTTACAAACGGAAACGGTGGTTAGCGAAATTACGCAGGTATCGCAGAAAGTACGAATTAAGTAATCAAGGAATCTGCAATTAGCGACAAGTACTGTGTTCGTGCAAAGAATGCGAGGTTGAATACATTCCGAGGGAGCATGCAGAAAATTGGTTGCAAGCATTCGAGTTGTCAAACGCGAGCACTGCAATTGCAATGTATCCCTCAGAAAATAATAATTGCGAAATTATTTGGAAATGCAATGAAAATAGATCGAAATAATTATTACAATAAGGACCACCCTAATCCACATGCACAAGTGGAGAGTGTGATATTATAAGTATTGGGTTGTCCCGAAAGTTTCTTTCGCGAGTTGCACTCAATTATTTGATGCGGTTGTATTTATATAAATAGACGATCGAATTTCATAGATATCCATACTGTAACGGTAATAGAGCAAAATGAATCGTGCACAATTCAGTAGTGTAACATAAAAAATAAAATATTGCACATGTATTACTTATTAATAAAGTGAAAGAAGCTTTTAGGACGACCTAGTATATATTTATAAATAAAAATGGATAACAGCGTAATAATCACTTTGTTCAAAAATAAAATAAAATTCGCACAACCAGGAGAATCAAATCATTTTGTTCGAATTTTTCCTCGAATATCGAATTCCTTCAAAACTCGAGAACTCGGATGCATCGGGTCGTCGAACTGCAAATAATGACGGGCTGGATGCAGTTGGGTGCAACGGCCTTTGTCGTAACCGTGAATGCACTCTCTCCGTACGTTCGTCGTAGCTCCTGGCCCCTTTTCCTCGAAGAATCGCGAATCGAATCGTTGCTCTATCGGCTTTCGGCTGCGACACGCGTCGGGGACGAACGTGCCACAAGGTTTCGCTGACTATGAGCATGAGCGGGCGGACCTGGTTCCGTTTCCAGCGGTTGTGCTTTCGTTTCGGTCAAGGCTGCGATTAGTCGAATATTTTAATATTTGTATAGAACCGTTCTAACCCTGCGGACGGGCATTTTGGAGCGTGACAATATTCCGTGTTACGCCAGGAGGAAAGGGAATGTTAACGCGACTGAAACGTTCGCCCTGGTGGCCTGAAGCAATGAAAACTGATTGTGTTCTATTCATTAAGTATGTGGTTATAGCGTGAATTGAGGAGACATAAATTTAAAAAAAAATACTTCAAAGAATCGATGAATTTAAAAATCAATGGTAATTCTAAATTAAAGAGTAGTAATTTAGGAATCATGTCTATAACCACATTTCATTTCAACCGGTGTAAGTAATAGAAAAAATGATTTTGTTTCATGTTTTACATTTCTAATTAAAAAAGAAAAATTCTTCTTCAACATTGTTGCAACATTCCCCACGATATACAATTTCTTTATTATTGTATGCACGTATGCGTGAATATAATTATTCAAAATGTTTGGAAAGACTTTATTTATTAATTATTTTTGCACCGAGCAACCATTGAATTTAAACATTTTCCAATACTCCAATAGTCGAGTATTCGAGTTATATTCGATATACAGTCAGTGTAAGAAGTACTCGTACAGCAACCAGTTTAAAATAAAATGAATAGAGAAAAGAAATAAAAGGTTAACGTTAAAAGCAATAAACTTCAATTTACGCAAAATCTACTCGAAAAATATGTAGGTATGTTGGTTAATTATTTCTTCCCTTAAAATTTATTAATCAAATAAATATTTGCAGTCTTATTTTGAATTGGTTCCTGTACGAATACTTATTACACTGACTGTATATCTGATACACCGATTCATTCGAACATTCGAATAAAGAAAAGTTTGACAAGTAGTCGGAGTCATAGCTTCAATCGACTCTGTGAGAACGTGAGTGTGAAATGGCACAAGGACATTATGCTACACTGACCTCGTATCTATGTGACCCGAGCAAAGTGGCTCGTAGCGCAGACGTAATATATTCATGCTTCAAATCGCAATGAATTCTGAAAGAGTAGTGCTCGACCTGTCAAATGATTCATTAACTCCTTTGTGGGTAATTTTGTGGTGTGATGCAATGCAAGTTTGAACGAAATGTTTCAGTGAGTGATTGTGCTGTCACAAGCCGTGTGTAAAATTGCAAATCATTAGTAACTATGTATTCATAGAGCTAACGAGTGAATTATTCAAGTGCATTGAAGTGGTTAATTATTATCAAATGGAATTATTCATTGACAAGCTGCTGATTAAACGTTTGTACGGTCTCAAGTGGGTTCTAAGTATTAATAAATCTTAATGAGAATTTTTCTTTTTTACTAAAGATTTTTTAATGTAAGTTATAATTGATTACAGTTGTAATTTTCGTTTCGTATCTTCTTCCAAACTTCATCTAGACTATTCATTTAAACTTGACTAGAGATTGTTTAAAACACGTTCTGGTTAGTTTAGAATGGAATATGGTATCAAATAAACACTCACTGAATACTATTAATCTTTATTTGATTTAATTGTGAAAACTA